TAAAATGGCTCCGCCCATGTTAAAATATGTTTTTAAAAATTTACAAAACTAAACAGCCAACAGTATTTTACAGTCTTTCTTCTGTGGTTAAAATATGTGTTTATCAAATAAAGTCTAATGTTACAACTAATGGAGGATCCCTTTAAGTAAAGTTGTRTCCCAGTGACACCATCGCCCAAGACGTTAAAACATTAGCACACAGAGCGGTTCCTGCATCACTAAAACTAACAAACAGGACAGGAGTGATTTTTATAGTATTTTGTAAAAAGACAGGGATCACTCAAATCAAACTAAGTGCACGTCTGTCTGCAGAGAACAAAGTAAACAACCAATGATTTAAACAAACAAAGGAGACTTTATCAAACATGACACAACATGATAGCATCTTAGTGTCCTCTGAAGATGCTTGTTGTTGAATTTACATCATTTTGGATAAGCAAACTGTTTTTTATTTTTACCCTTAGAACTTGACATGGATTGTAACTGTATCAAAAGAAAATCTAACCCTCAAATTTAAAGTAGTGTTTTTTTTTTATTACACTGCAGCATTAATATTAAATGTTAATTTAGCTTTAATCAGACATATACTAATTTAAACTTCTTTTAAATCTTACATTATTAACTCTGCACACTCTTATATGGCTCAGGTTTAAATATTGTGAAAATCTCCTCTTGCTGCGTTACAGAATGGTTAGCACTGGGGCCTCACAACAACAAGGTCCTGTTTGATCCCCAGTTTGGACCTGGGGTCTTTCTGTGTGGAGTGTGCATGCATGTTAGGCTGCCTTCAGGCCCAGGCCTCCTTTGCAAAAGAGATGTGATCTCAGTGGGATTTGCCTTATTAAAAAAAGATTTGTAAAATTACCAATTTCTGTGCTATGCRTTTTATTTAAATAATTTCCTGTTGTCATTTGCATCAAAAAACTGTCATGTTTGTATATTTGTGCAAGGCTCTATATACATTTAAATATATGTTTGTACCTGCATGGATATGTCTGTGTGTTTGTGTTGTGTATGTGTGTGTGTGAGGAGAGTGCGTTGTGTCATAGGTTGAGATAATGACCATGATGACAGTGGTGTAGCCGATGGGGGCCAGAGGAGCTGAATGGTGACGGATGACACAGGCCTGAGCTCTGATGGCGCACAGACAGTGAGTGATGACTGCACATCCTTCCCTGTGCTCCACCCTTCATTATCTCTATGGGGAGAAACACGGCACAAAGGCAGGCCGCGCTGCCCTCTCGCTGCCCTCAAACGACATCTGCTCACGGAGACAGCCACACTACCGCTCCTCTTTCACCTCGCTGTCGCGCCATCTATCTCCATCTACGGTGATCTTTCCCACTCCTTTTCTCTTTTCTTTGCTCTCGCTCCCTGTCCCTCTGTCCGTGGAGGGTATACAGAGGTCAGACAAAGAGATAATGACCCCCCCTCCTCCTTTCAACCTTTCAAAACAGGATCTTTTCTTTCTCTCTATCCTCCGTGTTCTTTCATTCTTAATCTTTTCTTTATTGATCTTCTCATGTTCACTTGTTCTCATGCATCTGAGAAGTCTGATCTGATGTCACAGACGGAGGAGAGCCCAGATGTTACTTTATGATTTGGMTAACTGATTGAGTCTTTTGAATGTGAAACCTGTTCCTAAACCTGTAAAATTACAACATCAAAAATAAAAGTTACCTTGTTTGTGAACCGTTCACTGATGGCAACCATAGAGACACTTTGAGGCGGCGCCACAAAATGAGGTAAATGTTGCCATCTAGTGGTTGAGTTGAAGCGGTGCAGCATTGAGGTGCTGTTTAACACACGAGGGGAGGACTCGATGAGACTAATGAGCATGCAGACAGGTTCAACCAGAGGTCACCATCTGGCCAATTACCACTGCTGGCACACTGGAGCCGACCTGAGCTGTCATCACAAACACATCACTCCATGTCCAAACTGCCCGGCAATATGTCACCGTGCCACTCGACGTGCCGTACAGTACAGARAGGATGGGGGCAACAGGAGACAGCCCCGTGACAAAGCCACCTGGTCGTCACCGCAGACAGGACAGCCTGCCGGCCCACCTGCTTCGCTCAGTTTTTGGAGGACACTCAACGGACTCTCAATGTCACTAAACCATCTCGGCGTCCACTTTGACGGACAGGTGTTTATTGTGTCTTTGGCGTTTGCTTCCTGAGGGAGGCTAGACACGGATCAATCGGCGGCGAACAGAAGCCAGGGGGATGCTCGAAATAGCTCGCATCGATCCCGCTGCTGAAACTCATAGGCAACAGTTGCAGCTGCATGTTTCACGGAAAAGACGCGGTTTAATGATTCCAGCGGTTCTCACGTATCAAAACACGAGGCTTTTCTCACACGCAARCCCTCAACTTCCCAGACTTTTTAACTCCTCTGTAATGACTTAATCCAATTGGCGTTCTGGAAAATAAAACCAAGAAACACAAACAGTGCTATGGCTAAGACAGGAGGTATGAGGGAGGGCCACGTTTCGGCATATTATAATAACCATCTGTACAATCAAATAGAAAACTACATCTTGCTGTTAGAATCATAAAGAAGGGGAACAGATGTTAATCCCTAATGGAGTTGACAGGCACTTCCCTGTCTTTCACATGAACATATTGAGTTTCTGAATAAGAGAGGGGGGGATCAGAAGGAAGGTGTATCATGTTGCACTCATAATACATGCATATCAAAGACCCCAGCTGTTGGATTCCCTCTCCTGAGAGACAGCATTATTAAATCTGCACTCAGCAAGCATATCACACCAGCACAAGAGCTTAAGCCTTTCCATCGGTGGGCTCCATCGGCTTGACGATTTGTAACCTATCACACAAGGAGATTATATCATCCTTTAAAGTGTACAGCTAATCAGTGCCACACACCTGTGTCTTATTTAGCCCTTATTTGAGATCAGAGTTGAGATCTGAGAAGAAAAAAAAAACTCAAGTGCTATAAGTATAAGGGAAGTGTGTGGTTCATAATTGGCATGATTCACACACACTCACACTCACTCTTCACACTCCTGCTGTCGAGGGATGAGGGCTGAGATGCTGCCAAAAACTCTTTTTGGGTCTCTGTAGCAGATTCCTTGTGGCTTATAAAAGTCACAGTTTGGTACYAAACCTAAAGTTTGTGCTCCGGTTAACCCCTTCACTCCTGCAGTGTGGAGCRAACGCGTCAGTCAGGGGATAACGAGACGGYGACCTGTCGGCGTTTGTCCACTAGRTGGCAACATACACCTTCAAATGCAGAGAGGGTTTTGGCTGCGATCAGGCAGTGACAGCTGCTTTCATTGAATACCATAAATAAGCTCGTGCTCACCTGCAGCAGCGTCTTTCTCCACGTTTCCGTTCACGCTGGCTTTCTGGGCGCCGGCTGATGTGCTGTTCAGGTTCCCCTGAGATCTGAGGAAGGAGAGCAGGGCGCCCTGGTGCATGAGTGGATCTGCTGCTCCTGGGGTCAAACCCTCAAAAGAGGAGATGGAAGATTCCGTCCCGACTCTCCCCCACTGTCCCATCTTGCTCTGATTCTTCTCTCTGGGAGCCTCGAAGTCAGCGCTGGACTGTCCCGGCTCCTTTGACTCGAGGACGTCATTTTTCAACATCTTCCACTTGTCGGCATCGTCGCTTTGGTCCTCCCTCGCTTGCTCGGGTTTCTCAAATTCACGTTCGTCGTCTTGARCCGTGGAGCCCGCGTTCTGCGGGTTCATCTCTTGTTTTGTTCCCTGCACCAAAAGGTCACAGTGGTACGCWGGTTTCACACAGAGTTCAGCTGGTGCACTGGAGTAAGTTTGTAGCCGGCGGGTAATGGAGGACGAGAGCCCATTATTAAAAAGGCCAGACATCTGTAGCACAGCGGGAGAYGTGGCCGAATGAGACGGGACAGAGTCCGGCCTGCAGGACAAATCCAAAGGTTCATGCTGGGACTTTCTGGGTGGAGCAGATAAAGAGCTGTCTACACCTGCATCCTTGTCAGTGTGATCAGCCTGTTTGTTCACAACAAGGACTTTCTCAGAGTGGCTCTCAGGAGCAACAAACTGACCGGCAGCTGGGCTCCAGTCCTCCCTAGATCTGGGTCTGAGCTTGGGTTTGGGGCTGCTGCTGTCGCTGGGCTGCAGTGAAGGAGAAACATCCCTGCTGTCCTGCCAATGGGGGAAGCTGTAGCGATCCAGGTGGAAGCTGAGGGAGGCGGCGGTGTAGTCACTGGACGGTGGACACCTGTAGACTTTCTCACCTGGCACAGACGAGAAGAGCAGAAACACGATCGGATACAAATCGGATTAGAAAACTATACTTTTATGAAGCATTCTGAGCATTTTGCTGTATATGCACCAAGACCAGTTGTCTAAACATGAAAAATGTTGCAATCTCACACCAGGCTGAGTTGAATGATTTAAGTGCTGCCCTGCAGTAAATCAAGCTTGTAATCAGCTTTCAGCTCCAGTGATCCATCATCTTACAGTATGAACGCCACACCATGTGCAATAAATACACCCAAAGATGTTAACAGCAAACAAGATTCTTCCAGAAATAATAAACAGTGAAATTGTTAAGCAACTAGAACAAGGCAGATGTTGCAGACATGAGCTATATTCCATCAAAGCCAGTAAGTGGGTTTCTCAGTCAAAAGAAGAARAAAAACAAAGTCCAACATGTGAGCAGTTCTGATTAAACCCACCATCTAGTGTAGCGGAGTTTATTTTTGTTTCATTCTTGAAAAATGACATGATGGAAACATAATTCAAAAAGTACAAAGTGTGTTATTGAGGAGAGTGACAAAGAGTCATTTTTCTCTCTTTAGCTTGTGAATAATTCTCGTCTRGAGACAAGATTTCATCTCCAACACCATAACTTTTAATTAAAGGTAATTTAAATGCCGTCTTCCCTCTGTTTACCTACACTTTCATCCTTATGGCTAACACAGAAATACCCTGCAGGGTTAAACACACTCTCTGTGACCATTTTGAGTTAGTGATTGCCTCAGACCTCTGCCTTGCACTGTCTTTAAACAGCCCAGCTGTTTCGCTGCCATTCCAATTACAGTAAAAGTCATCCGACGCCATTAAGCCACAAATATTGGCAGTTTATTGCCCAACACTCTCTTGGCATTTGAAGGTCAGGTCATACATTATACTGTGTCTTTTAGGGATGCGTCTGGGATAGGGAGATAAACCCACCACCATTAATTTAATTCTATGCATATTGATGCCTTATTGTTCTTCTTTAATGGACTAATACCTGAGTTACAGCAGTGATTCATCCCTGCCACAGAAATATCAATTTCATACACCTTAAGATCTGACCCTGAGGTAATTCTCTGAGGTAAATCTAAATCTAATGATCTGTGGTAGTGGCTCTACTTTGTTTCCAACTTTAGTAGAAAAACCATCATTTTTTAGCTGAATGGTAGTAAAAGTAGGGCTGTTTTCTTCTATTACAATCTGCAAAAAGCGTAAAATAGCACCCACATGTTAATTAAATTGAGCTCTACTTAATGAGATTGAAAAGTCACAGCTGAAATGGAAAAATTATGCCCTTGAACTAAAGTCAGCTCTCCGCCTTTGCACTGTATACGTTTGTGTGTGACGCGTGTTTTGATTTAACGTCGGCGTGCATTAAAAGTGCACGGCAAACGCATGTGCTGGAGCGGGAAAGGGACCTTAACCGCGCCACACCCTCAGTCTCCAGTAACGCATCAGAAAAAATAAAAATAAAAAAAACAGCCTAATGGAACAGTTTGAGACACACTATATATCTCAATTATTCTGTGGCTTAAATTACAATGACATTAACGGCTTGCTCCAAAAGCAGAAAACACATACATCTGACCTCATCTTTCAATGTGGCCCCTTCCTAAACCCATTTGCCAGCCCATGCCAGAGCGGTTAAACAACACAAAGCATAAAGACACCGCCTTTTTTCCTCTCTTCCTTTGGACGGGTGCCATCTTTGTGATTGCCTGGTTCATGCTAACTTAATCAGTTTAAGATTTACTTACAGTGCCGAGGCTCACATTATGTGAGGGGAGTAATTTTAGAGCTTAGATTTATCAACCAAAACTCCAATTACTGCATCATTACAAACCCCAGCCTCTCTCACCTAACACAGAGCATCTAATGAAGTGATGCATATGAGTTATCCTCATCTTACGAGATGTGCATGGCGGAGGGGGTGAAAAAAAAGAAAAAGGTAAATAAATTTTAAAAAACAAACGCCATGTATTGGGGTGGGGAGTACAGCACACAACTGGGCTTGGACAAGTGATTCATTTCGTATGGAAATAGGCTTTAAGATTTACAGCCGTATATCCCCGTCAATGCAATCACACTCTCACATATTATTTGCTTACACGGGCATTTGGCAGTTATATTGTAGATATCAAACTCTGCATACAGTGGAGCTTTGGCTCGCTCGCTGTGTGCAGCCACACACCTGAAATGCAAAACAGAGAGAGACGCATGTTGGCTGGTTTGGTTTAAGATGAAACAGAGTGAGAGTCGCACACAAGACTGGTGAGAAAAACAGGGGCACCAGATGTTCTTTGATGTTTATAATAGCATATATTATTAATATTAATTAGACCACATAGTCAATGACGCATTTGGGACGTTTCCAAGTCAATTAAGCCAAATGGCATTCAGGAGACGGCGGAACAATATTTCAAGGCAGGTGTTCAGAACTCCCTGGGTAAATCTTTTTATCTGCATGCTAGGAAAACAAGCATTTTGAGCTTAATTTGAGCCTCATATCTGCAATAATAATTAAAAAGAGGATTAAAAGACAGAAGTGAGAGGGAGATGGAAAAGCCAACAGGTAATCAGTTCAGACGAACCAGTCAGACTGGCGGATCTCTGAATAAGAAGTGATTTTTTTTTAAAAAAAACAACTTAGATAAAGACCTATATTGTTTTTTTAAAGTGTTTTACAGTTAGCAATCCCAAAGAACAGACTGATGCAATACGAGCTAACAAATGAAAAGTGATATTCTGAGCAGCAGCCACTAAATCTGTTTCTGGGTAAACCACTGCTCATATTACCRTTCACAGTTTTACAGACGTTTATCACTTCAGGCACTCTTTGGCTGCAACGCTTATAGTAAAAAGCGGTGTAAAAGCAGGAAATAAAGGACAAAACACATGTAGGGACAGCGCCATTACATGGTGTCTGCTCACTGACCTTGAGGTTAAGAATATTGAATGGGACTAATTAATAACTGTCAGCAGATTTTATATTTTTTAGACATGCTTTTATTCAGATCTAACTGGTCTAATGTAGGTCAGAAGCCTGCAGCATGTGCCCTTTATGAGTTTATCGTTTTTTTAAAGGCTTGTTATTCCTAATCTCAAATTATAATTAAAGCCAAAGAGCATTTTTAAAATATGTCCTGATTAGATATTCAGACAAGTAATTTGTTGCATGCCTCCTTTTGAAATCAAAGTGGAACTTCTAATTTAAGATGCTGGGTGTTTGTAGTTTCATCTCTGAAGCCAGGGCTATATCTGAACGCTCCGTCGCTCTGACAGCCATGACTGTACTATATTTGCTATCCATATTGAGAACATCAATAACTTCATGACCACCATAGGCTGACTATGAATAATGCARCCAATAATTCTGGACTAATCAATGTTCCTCAAGCTGAACATCTGGCAGTGGTAATTCTTCCTCAGCGTCTCCGCTCTCCTGAATTAGAAAACGCTCTCTTCCTCTGTCGTCCTCCAGGTCCAACCGTCGAGACAGACAGACTTGATCGGCTACACACCCACCCCCTCCTTCTCTGAACAAAACTTAGCCTTGTTATTAAACCCTCATCAAGTGGTGCGTGTTCTCCATATGTGTAGGATTTACCTATCTGTCCCACAGCAGACCTGTGCGTTGAGCCAGGGCCAGCAGTGTGTGATTGTGTTAATTAATCTGTCATTGTGAGCGCAGGGAGCAGCTGCAGAGGTCTCTGGGATATATTGTCAGAGCTAAACAATGCGGTGCTAAGCCCCCAGAGTGAGTCTACCATTACACAGGACTAAGAAGAGAGAGGAAAAGGAGGAGAGGGGGAGAGAGATTCTGCCGGATCCATCATTGACTAAAGCAATGACGCCTGACCTTTACAATGAATTAGTTTCCATGCTTAATATTGACTGAAATTAGAGTCTGATACTGAATGTGCCATCCCAGAACTGTGCACACTCAAATCCTCAGCTAGCCAACTATCATAAATGTTTCTGGAAGTGACACCGTATGGTTGTGGAGATATGGGAGAGGAGGGGGGGCGGGAAGTTAGAAACAACAGAGCTTGTATATGTTTCTTAAAGAGCAACCAGAGAGGGATTTGGCCGCAAACTCCCAGCATTTACATGTAAATATGCAGATACCAGTATGTGTGTACAATATGAAAACAAAACATCTAATGGGATTAGACCGGATCCATTTATCGCTGCTATGCGGACATCATTTAAGCGGATGCTGGATCAAATCCCACCAGAGCGCGTCAGACTTAGACAGTCGTGCCTCTCCAAGACTGCGAGCGTAAAGCAGCGCGCACGAGCTATGAAGAAATCAAACAAAGTTCAAATTTATTTCTCCTCTTAACAACACAGTTCCAGCAGTAATTTAGGCTCATGATAACGTGTTAGCAGGATGCCATGACAAGAAAGGCATCTACCCATTGAGCCGAATCATCCAAATCACCAGGTGGAAAAGAACACTATCAATAAAAATACCAGGTGGTAGATCAAATCATAAAAATCACTGGGTGGTATATATCAAATCATTAAAAACACCAGATGGCATGCATTAACATCTTGTGCCCCCGTAGGCAAGGGGTGGGGATGTGACAGATATAAAATAGAGGGTACTAATTATCCCCACAATTCAACATGATGCCATTATCTTTAAAAGAAAGACAAAGTCCTTGTGGATGATAACGTCTGTGGTGTTTTACTGACCCTGTGCTTCATGCCAACTCACTCCAAGTGGTTGAAACATTATGCGTAAAGAATAAATTGAAATAAAATCATTACATGCTGTAATTTGAAATGTGCTGAGACATAATGACTTGTTAATAGAGTAAAAAAAAAAATAAAAGTAAACTGGGAATTAGACTGTGGTGCAATCAAAGGAGTTATTCTGAGAAAGTTACACTTCGAGAAATTTGGTCTGGAGCTGCAAAGGATCAGAAATTACTCAATTATTCCTATTTGTTTGTTTGTTTGTTTTATGAAATCTATTGCCTTTTGTAATTCTACTGTATATTTGACTAAGCTGTGTGATTTTACTTTTGTTCATTTTTAGGACAGCTGCAAAAACTGCTAAAGAGACTACTGATGAAAATTAGCTTATTTTAGCTAACTCTGGCACTACGGGCGTTCTGATTCGATAWCAGTATCAGATATCAGTCCAATATTAGCCAAAAACTGAATATAAGATTATATTGACCTGCATCTAAAATCTCCAATATAAGCACTCTGATACAAACATATAGTCCAATCCAACAGTCTGCTCAGGATTTCTATCCAGCAGCTTCTAGATCTAAATAAATTACTTAACTGACCTTGAATACTTATTTTACATTTTATTGGATTTATTTAGGTCAATTTTCAGGATTTTTCTATTTTATTAATGTATTTAATTTTACAACATTTTTATGTTTATGTTAGAAAAATATGTAACGCAGAAGATTATAATAAATGGGACCAGTTTTTCTCAGACCTATTGTTGTTGACTATTGTTTATTGTTTGAYCTGATCAAGACTTTTTAAAGGGGCAATATGATGTGTTTCTCAGGCATATATTTAAGTTCTATATCGTCATAAAGTATCTATGTCACCTTCAGTTGTTATTAAAATGTTGTTWTCACAGTATGTTTAAATAGAAAATAAACTCCTCTTCTCATCATTTCTGTTTCTAAACACCTTAAAATTGGCCTCTGTCTCTTTAAGAACCTCCTTCTGCTTCTGTCCCAACCATCTCAGCATGTGTGGGGGGGCTGTGATATGGAAGTGTAGTTTACTTGGCATCTGAAAATACATTTCCTCAAAAGTGTTTTGAATTTGAAAAGGGCTGCGCTCAGAAGTAGTATTGGGAGCTCAGCAGACAGTTTCAGTTTCACTTTCAGTTTCACCAGTTGTTTGCTTTGTTGCTGCCGAGAGACTACAGGAGTCACGGCAGGGTGCGGGGGTTGGGGGTGGTGGTCTGTGATGAAGAAGCTCGGCTTGGGACTAGCTCAGAGGCGGAGCTAGTCCCAAAAGGCGGTTCTAGTCCCAACCGGTCGTTTTTGCTCCCTTGCCTGGCTGCCTCAGGACACTACATGATTTCTCAAACATGCATGAATGAGTCAAAGCAAGAC